ACCCCCCCCCCCCCACCATCATAATTTCAAGAGTTGACAAGAGAAATAGACTACAGAAGAATTCATACATAGATGAATGCTATCTCTCTCTTGGTGGCATAATTTAGAATCCTCAAAAATATACTGGGAGCAAGGTTTGGAATTAATGTAATATCCTCCCAGACTTGATGTACGGATTAAAAATAAAAATTTTAATGCATTGGTTTGGATTTCTTTTTATGATATTATTATATGAAGGGTAGCCTGCAGCATTTTTGAATAGTGTAATGTCAAGGAGACTTCTCAAATTCCAAATCTATGAGCCAAGTTTTGATATTTCTTTTCAAGTCAACAGTGAGTCAAATAATTAATTTAACTCATATTTATTTCACTTTGAAGAAGAATTTTAGAAAAGATAAATGCCTCTCCCCATTTTGGAGGGGTTGGAATGTTAAAGTAGCATTTAGTGCACTAGTAAGAGGTAAACATACCTATATTATGTAGTATTTTGCACCAATATGTGGCAAATTGCATTATTGTTACTCAATTTGCAAAGGGTAATGAGTTAGAGCCTGGTCAGATGAGCTTAGTGCAATGTCCCCCTCCCCCCATCCCATGCAACTTTCAGAAGAAGAGCTGCTGATCAAGACTGGGAGCACATCAAGAAGAAGAGGTACTTTCCCTCTAGGTCCCAGTTTTGATCAGGATCCTTGCATTTCTACTTTACTTTTAAAATAAGCAGTCACACACCTAGTAATCTTGTGGATGACACTGCATCTAGCTTTGTCTTGAAGTGCAACATTTAGTCCCTGGAACAGGATCAGAGTCTGTGATTCTCGTTTTTTTTTTTTTTTAATACAGAAAAAGACCTTGTTGTTAGCAAAATATATTTGTTTTTGTTAAGAGAGGGGAAACCACAATAGAGGTATATGTGTTTCAAAATCTGTAGAGAAAATTCATATATGCTTATTCTCCTTATCTTAAAATGTTGGAATTTGAATCCTCTGATGAGACTAATTGGCAGCAGAAGATTCAGGGCAAAGGAAAATATGTCCTTAAATGATGCTACTTTAATTTATAGAATATGCTATTGCATAATAATAGCCATTAGGAGGAAGGTTTTGAAAGGAGATCACAATTGGATTTCATAAAAATTCCAAAAGATATCTGTCATGAAGACTATTTATACTTTCCAAGTTCAGAAGTAAAACTAGGTGGATTTATTTATTTATTTATTATTTTTGTATGTTTGTATGTATGTATTTCCTTGCTTGCTGGCTGACTGGCTGGCTGGCTTTATTTAGGGCAGTGAACAGCTGTGGAGCCAAAGGTATGGATTAGGCAGGGATGAATTGTTTTCAGAACAGATGGAAGCTAGGAAGGAAAGCACAGATCAAGCACAAAACAAGCAAGATTAGAGAGGGTCAATGTCGGTTTTCTTCAAAGAAAAGCAGCATTAGGAAGAGCTGCTTTTCAGTGAAGAAGAAAGAGTGATGAAAGTGGTACCTAACTATGTTTTGGCTAACTCCTTCCCTCTCTTAGTAACCCTCTCATATTTTCACCTTGTAGGATTCTAGAATCTAGAACTTTATCAAGAGTTACAAACATGCACTCATGGTGATACAGTAACAGACTGGTACAAAGGATGCCTCTTCTGAGATTTCTATTTGTGTATTAGAAGAGAAGGAGAAATGGAAGGAGTTTGCTTTTTATAATTTATGCAATTGGTGCACAGTGCTCCATTATGAATATTGCCTCCTCCTATTTTGTGTGCTTTTATATTAGTTTTGACTTGTAATTGTTTTTATGTATTTATTCTTTTTAATTGTTGTATGCCTCCCAGAGTCACTTCTATCTGAGATGGGCAGAGATATAAATACAGTAAATACATAAATATAAATTAATGTTTTAAAATGGGAAGAATGGACAAGTTTTAGCCACCTAGTTTTTTCTACACATAAAATTCAAGGCATGTAACTATCTGAAACTACAGATATTTAACCTATACAAAAAACCTGAATGCAATAGTACTTAAGATGATTCTCTTGTTTTGCTACTGAGAACGGCAATCACACTTGTATAGAACTACAGGTGATAGAAAATGAACTTCTCCTATCAAGAATTGTCCTTTCCCAATGCCATTAGAGAAAGAACAATTCCAGAGAAAATCAATGGCTGAGAACAATACAAAAGTTGTCAAAGGATTGGTAATCAAACCAAATCAATTTTTATTCAGTGATAGACCAGGAAATAAAAAGTTTGAAAGGAGCTTCAACGAAGTTGTAACCTGAACAAATCTCTAGAGGTTTCCAGCTGCAGTTTTCTTATAGACACAAATGAAGTGAAATACGTTTTACTTTATTTGATATAAAATGAGAACTTTAAACATCAGAATTTATGATCTGGACATGTGCCAGACATATCCACTATAAAAAAACTCTCTTTTCTTTCTTGCTCTCCTTTAAAGCATTATTTTTTTGCTTTTGGGTTCCTTGAATTATTTTAGTAATTTGCTTATTTGCAATGTGTTTGCTTGTTTGCTTGTTTATTTATTTTACTGATTCCCTGCCTTTTCCTCCTCTGTCCCACTGAGGTTCTCCTTTTCATCCTGCCCAATTTCTTCAGTGCTGCCCTCCCCATTTAGTATAAGGCTGATTGTGACAGAGGAACTGGGAAAGCTGGACCCTCCTTGTTTAAAACTGAACTTACAGTTTAAAGGTAACTTCATCTTAAAAGAGTGCTTCTAGTCATTGGCAAAGGAGGGTTGGCACAGAGCCCCACTACTGCTTCTCCTACAGTGTCTAGCTCTGAGCCAGGTCGTGTTCCTCAAATAAAGAATTTTCAAGAGAAGAGATGAGAAGTTCTGCTGATTACTTTTCTGCAGTGAAATTCTCTCTACAACTGAACAATAAATTCCAGCAATGGCAAAAGTGATAAAGGTGTATGCAATGAATTTGTAGAATGATGGGAACAGTAATATGAGCTAATATTGAGAAAGTCCACAGGGTGTGTCACACTTAACAGGGATATATGATCTCCTTCCCTTCTGAACTTCATGCCTGAATTCCTTGGCTCATTCTGGCTGGCAAGGCTTGAAAAAAAGTTCTCAATATCTCCTTGTAAGACAAGGATCTGTAAATATTTATATCTATATATACCCTCTGGGCCATTCAAATGGATGACACTCAGCTTGCATTATTAAATGGAAACAATTTAGAACACTATATTAAATGTCTTAAATGTTTAAAGAGAAAACATTAGACTCAGCTCTTAAAGAAAAAGGGAAGGATGGAGCTGTAGTCACCAAGGTGAATAACATTCTTTCATTTCTATTTCAGAATCACTTTACTTTCCACCAGCAGGGAGGAAATCAATCAACTACTACAGAATTTATCCTTCTGGGATTTGGCAATCTGCTTGAACTGCGAATAGTCCTCTTCATATTGTTTCTTCCTGTCTATACTTTGTCCATTGCTGGAAATCTCCTAATTGTTTCACT